AATGCTTACTTTGTAGTCATTATTGGGTATTTTGCTGTTACCGTGTAGTTTTCTCATGCCAACACAAATTTTACTCCGCTCCGCTATAAGACCTTTTTGACGTTTGATAGTCTTTCTCTATCCAGCACACATGAATGAATGAACGGTTTGTTTTCCCACTAAACTGTTTCCCTCTTGCTTGCACTCGTTCGATTTAAATGGTGCAGTCACAGAAAATAAACTACCCACCGCTTGGGTTTTTTAAACTCAAATTTGAGTTATTTGACCTCAGCCCGTTTCATTTTCTCTCGCTATCGTTGTCAAAAATAGAACGAAAGATTCGACTCAACCGTCTAGTTCCGTACGAGAAGCCAAAATTGAGTAATATGCGATAAACCCAAATTTGAGTTAATTGAACTTAATTTTGGGTAGAAAAAATTGAAAATAACTTAGCGATGGGTAATTTTTTTTGCCGTGCTTAAATGCAAACTACTTTGAGCCGGTTTACCCAAATTTGGCTTATTGTACGGAACATGGGAGATGAGTGAAAAGAACTTAATTTTGGGTTGTTTTGAATTTCTGTGAGTGTGCGCCGATTAAACGTCAAAAAGCTCTCACTGTAACTGGAAAGTACCCATTAATGGGTGAAAAAGTGCCCATTTCGAAGTAAAGTAGGTAAACTCATTTAATGGGTAAAACGTCTTTACCCATTAATGGGTAAAGACCTTGTACGTCAAATCATGGGGTACTTTTTTACCCATTTTTAAATAATAATTGGCTTTATAAAATGGGTACAAAGTACCCAATTTTGAAATCCTTAAACCAGAATTTTTCTTTTAGAATTTGTATGATTTATGGATCATTGAAAGAGCCACAATGAATAGTTAAGAATACAAAACGTTATTTATATTTATATCTTTATTTCACCATTTTCCATCCAGTGGTCTTTCCATCGTTCGTGCAAGAAATGGTGCTCCCAAAGCTCTCCTGGGATCTCCTTGTTGATCCGGCTAGTTCTGTCCCTGCAAGTTTCAGATTGATTTTTAGATGTGGGCAGAAAGAAATAAAATAAGAAATACCTACTTTTCAAACGAGCAATTTCCATTCGACATCGTTAAGACACTTTGCGACTGAAGCGAGGACTGGAAGATGTTATCTAAGTTGCTTTTCACCCATTAATGAGTAAAAAAGTACTCATTATTCTCGCCCGAAGCGCTCTGAGAAATGGGTAAAAGAGTACCCATTATTTGAAATTGAACTTCACCCATTATTTGACAGCCTCATATAGTCATCAAAAATGGGTCCTTTTTTACCCATTAATGGGTACATGGCAGTTGCAGTGTATGCACGCTAAAGGGCCTCCCTTAGCTCAGTTGGTAAAGGCGCAGCTACAAAGCAAGACCATGCTGGAGGTGGCTGGGTTCGATTCCCGGTCCGGTCTAGGAATTTTTCGGGTTGGAAAATTTCTCGACTACCCTGGGCATAGAGTATGATCAACCGGTGAACACTCGTGTTTATTTCAGTTACCGTGAGGACGTAATTTGTGATGAGCCCCGGTCCCTTTCAAATTGTATCATTATTTATGTACGTTTCATATATTTGAAATTACGTTTCACATTAATCTAGTGATGGCCGATTTTCATTCGAATTATCGATTAATCGATTAACGAACCGAAAAGTAAAATATTTGTAATCGGTTATATCATGCCGATATAAGCATTAACTTCTCCAGAGGATCATCACCGATCGTTTCAAACATGTGCTGCACTCTCATTGATGGAAATATGGCAGCACAGCGAACAAAAAAAAATCGATTAGTTGTTAATCGAGTAATTAAAAAATGGGACACCTCTGATTTTGGTGTGTTTGTTTTGATAAAAATGAGCGCAAAATTTCATCTCTGTCGAGGGGGCAGCAAAACCACAAAATTACCTTGAATACGGGGGGTATTCATTGGATGAAAGGGACCGTGAAAGAGGACACTAAAATAGAAAGTTTTTCTTCCGACAGTTTCATCTTAGTATTCATCTTTGGTATGATTGTACTTGCCACACTATTATACTAATGCAGAAATAGTACAGGCATCGAAAGCTCTCAATTAATAACTGTAGAAGTGCATCTAGAACACTAATAGCGAATTCGTTTATTATTCAGTTCCAACCTGGATCGGGTATCAAGATTGGGTCTGCTTGTTTTCTAACAAACGTCAGTTTGCTCGTTTGTTTTTAAAACCTAGATCAGGTTGAGGTGCGCACTGACAAAAAGTTCGGTTTCGCACTGGGTTGGAACTGGTTCCAATCCCGATAATAAACGAATTCCCTATAAGTTGAGAGCACGCAATAAGCTAATATGCGATATGCAATAAGCTTGAAATGCGAAGAAGAAGAAGAAGACGCTCAGATTTGAATTCGCCTTGACACCAGTCCCAAAGTGACGTTTCTTCACACACATTTCGACAGTTCCTTAAGGGGTTTTGCGTTGGAGTGAAAGAATAAGAAAAAGTCCGCCATGTTTCACACATAGACTGACAGTTACATATGAGATTTCTCCATAGGAGTAAAGAGTTACAGAGCTCTCGTCAACGCCAATACGCACCATAAACGTTCCCTTTCGGTAGTTAAAGCCCTACAGTAAAAGTATGGACGTCTGTCAAAAGTTGTTCCAATCGAACCGTCAAAATGCACAGCTTTGCTTGATTGGAACCAAGGTGACTACATATAGGTGTTCTAATGTGTCAAATTCATGATTCAGCCATGTTGGATTTTTGTATGGGACAGCGACCGAGTTTGTTTACAATTTGCTCTAAAACCGCACTTCCCCCCCCCCCCCCGCGACCTCTTCGCTTATATAGTGACAAAGCTGTATCACCATTTATATACCCACCATGATTGGAACAGCTTTTTTCAGTTTTGTGGTGACAGTCGTCCATACTTTTACTAGGGCTTTATCGGTAGTAGGATTGAAACAGTGCGGTCATTATCTGGGATGGCGGTATATAGATAGGGTTTTTATTCCTATTTCAGGCCCATGATCCTATTTTTTGCTCAATAGAGTTAATGATATAAAGATTGCTAAAGTTTGATAGTGTCAGTGATTTGTTTTCATCGGGAAAATTTTCCGCTATAGTTTTTTTTCCCGATGAAAACATTTTACGTATACGTATATAGTGTGCGTACGATAAACGTCAGCAATCTCTATGGTCATGCACAGAAGGTTATGTTAAACTTGCTCAGAAAACAAAAAATCGGTTAAACATATCATTGTGCTTAATACCTTGCACATGAAGAGTGACACTTATGGTGGTAAATCCAGGTCAAGAATGTCCGGCTTGTTTGATGTCGACATCAGAGTTAATCAACACGGCTCTAATACCCCGGACAGACTATGACTTATATCATGTAATATAGGCTGTCTTGCAATGAACACTCATACATCTAGTTTTCACTGGAAATCCAATGTATGAGTGCTCATTGCAAGACGGCCTATATTACATGATATAAGCCATAGTCTGTCCAGGGTATAAGAAAACATTTTGCAGATAATACAAACAGGGACGGTATTACAAGTTAATCCCTAAGAGAAGAGGTGACAATACGGGGGCGAAAAAGAACCACTTTTCTGTCAAACGTGAACCAGCTCCTGATTGGCCGATTTCATGTGTGTAAGATAGAGATAGAGATAGATAAAGATAGAGATAGAGATAGAAATAAAAGAGGAAGAAGCCAATTGTCACCTCTTCCTCTTAGGTTAATCCGAGTTGAAGCTTACCGCCATTTATGTAGAGTACAAATATGCGTTTACCTCAATACCCTTATGCAATTGATTCAGAATGTAAAGCATACGTTAAATAGGGGAAAATGGCTCTAATGTTGGCCTATGGATCTAGGATTGGGCCCATCGCTAAAAACCTGCTATTTGTCAATTTTGTCTAGATGAACGCGGGACGATACTAAAGCTGGGTTTAGACTAGGCAAGTCAAATGATCAACTCAGTTGAATTCAATTGGCTTGAAAAATTGAGCCTGGTTCATTTTTTTTTTCAATTCAAGTGAGTTGATCAAGTCAGTTGAATGGCATGGCAATTACACATTCAATTCGCGTTCAAGTCAGTTGAATTCAACCGACTTATTCAATTGACTTTCCCTGTCTAAACCCAGCTTAATGGATATTTTTGGGTGCTATTGAAAATTTAATCGTTTGATGAATTTATGTATGGGCCCAAATAAGGGGCATTTAGGCCGACATTACATCTATTTCCCATACATCGCAAAATATTCAAGTATATTGTCAAACCCACGGTATTAGGTGTTCATGGTTCTAAGCTCATTACAATATTTTAGGAGAGGCGCCCATAAATGTGACATCTGTAAAAACAAACGTCAACGTCAAGTTCACACCATACGACATCGAATCAATTTTTTAACGTGTTGGAAGACGCCCGGCTTATCTGTTAATCTATGAGTTTAGATAGGCATTCTTACTTTTACGATTAAAACAAATATTTGGAATTATTTGTTTCCAAATATATTGGCTAAGAACCTGCCCGAAAAAAATAATTATAATAAAACAACGAAATTACAATGATTTTTAATGTTGAATGTGCTTGAACATTAAAATTTATTGCTAAATTATTGCACAGGAGAAAAAAAAAATCGATTCTTAACGATACAATGTTCAAACAACGAAAATTAGTGTGATGAGAACAAATTTATTCGAGAAAAATCGCTTTTTTATTGCTAATATGCTTAACTTACTGTAAATTTATCAGATACCATGATTTTCATTGTTGTGAACCATGAGTTTCGTTGTGATTTTATGGTAATGGACAAAAATGTCCAATGTTTTGACAGAAAATATCATGGTTACAATGACAATGAAAATCATTGTATTTTTATTGGATTTTTTTTACGAGAGGGTTCTATCAGTTTTATCGCAGCGTCGAAATAAGTACATGGGTTTATAAATGTGCATAGAAACCCTATTAGGTACGATTTGTATACGCAAGTAAATAAAGTCACGAACTTGATAAATAGGCAGCAGCAGGAAGAAGTCGAAACTAAAAAACAACCCCTGTTGGTTTTGCCTCGTGGGCGTTGAGTGTCCTTATCCGTGACAGTCTTCAGTTCAGTTTTTACTTGCAACAAGGATGGCATCAGCAAGATCATCGATTTATCAAGATTTGTCTGAGGTACTTATAAAACATCATTAAAATTATGGTGCATTTTAAAAACAAATAAGCTTTTAGCAAATGTTAGTCTAGTGATAGTTGTAGCTAAGTGCCGCATGATAAGATGTCTTTTTTTATTATTAAATTAGGTATTTATCAGTAGAACAGTAGACAAGAAAATTGTAACTTTACGAAAGGGTAACTAACTAGATAAGGTTCGTTCTCATATCAGCAAATATATATCCGCACCCGAAAAAAAACATACTGTTCAGATTCGCAACAACAAACAGTGGTGGTACGGGAAAGGTCCTGTTCCCATACTATGCTGTCAATAGTCTCGTACATGTGTTAGGGATCATCGATCAGCCAATCAAATCGATATAGCTTAAAATCGAAGTTCGTTAGTATTGTGTTTCGATTTTTGTTTTTAGGCAGGCAATGTTTTCTGGTGTTTTAGATTTTTTTTAAAAGGATCTTATGGCTTTTGATGTCATAAGTTCTGATATGTTTAATTTTTTTATTTATTTATTTATACAATACAAGAATAATAGCACAAGTAATCTACTAATGATTTTCAAAGTATATGCTACTATTACACTACCGATGTACCTATTAACCTAACTGAAGTAGTTGCTGCATAAGTTTTTGAATGTTGTTAAACTTCTTGCTGTCCTCGGTAGTTCATTCCATAATCGAATCGAACGATAGCGCATCGATTCACTTGAAAAATGTGTCGAGCATCTTGGAATAATTAAAACATTTGACCTAGAAGATTGTGAGTTAATAAAGAAGTTTCGAAGATATATCGGGCTTTCGTTTAAAATTTTAAAAGTTTGAATACACAATCTAAGTTTCATGTAGTAGACGAAATCGTAGCCGAGTAATAAATTAGAAAAATTAGAAATGTGATCGTATTTCCGCAGGTCGGTATCTGGTAACGGCATTAAATATCAAGTTTAATTTCTTTGTATTTGTCTTAGAAGTTAAGAATATCCCCGTACAAAAATAACGGAACGATCAAGGATCTAGCCAGCTGAAGTCTGATATGTTGAGGCGTGGAGTGACGCAACAAAACTAGGGAGTGTAGCGTACAATAAACTTGAGCATTCCAGTTGAGGTTGCAATCCATTACAATACCAGGATTTTTAATTGTGTCAGAATATATAATGATATCACCACCCACTTTAACTAATGGGATATCCTGAATACCAGTCCGTTTTGATCTAAAAATAATAGTTTGTGTTTTTGCCCTGTTCAAAATAAGACCATTAGTTTCACACCATTTTAAGATATATTCTATATCACTATTTAATAATGATATAGTTTCAGAAATATTATTCAATTTGCCAGAGATGTAAAGTTGACAGTCATCGTAATTTGATTGAATGTTATTAAATTCAACATAATGTGATCGGCCAGCCAAATATGATTCAATTAAATTCACTGAGGAATTACCAATTTTAAAACAACTAGCGAGTTTATTGCAGAGTTTCCGATGATCAATTTAATCAAAAGCTTTGCTGAAATCTAAGAGCGCCATAACGGTTAACATTTTGTTATCAAGAGCATTTCTTAAATCGTCTTCAATTTTTATAAGAGCTGTAATCGTGCTGCAGTTCTTACGATATCCAGATTGTAAAGAACATAGCAGATTATGATTATTATGATATTCGTTTAGTTGTTTGGATACAATTGATTTAAAAATTGGCGTTAAAATGATTGCAGTCAGATTCAGAACTCAAGAGCGCAAATCAACAACAATCAGGAAGAAAAAGGCATGGAAAATCATTTCAATAGACGAGTTCACGGCCAATGAAATCAACCCAAATTAAAGTTTACTCGTAGTCGCATAAAGTGCAGGAACTCAGCGATGAGTAAATTTGCCTCATGTTTTCCTGTGGAAAACCTAAAAAATCTGCCGGAAAATGAGGAAAATTTTACTCAGTCTTGGAATGGTGCCAGTAGAATGAGAGAATCCGATTGATGATTGATTAGATTTTCTCATATTTGGGATTTTATTCCTGGAAAAACCTGGAAAACTTGAGGCAAATTTACTCATTGCAGAGGTGCTGCACGTTTTTGCGATTTATGAGTAAGCTGAACTCAAATTTGGGTTGATCTCATTGGCCGTGTGCATGGATGGATTTGAGTCCACTCACTCGAGAAAAAATCATTATTCATGAACATTTATGGCGATAAGCTCTAACTCCGGTTAACTTTTAATACCGTCCCTGTTTGGAAGATCTGCAAAATATTTGCTTAAAGTCGTGTTGATTAACTCTGTTGTCGACAGCAAAGCAGCTGGACATTTTTGATCGGGATTTAATCTGAGGAGCTTACATTACTCTGATAATATGAACTATTCCCATTTTGCTTGAAATTTAATCAATTTGACATTAAACTCAGTTTAATCATATCGAATGATTAAAAATTAATCCTCTCTTGCTAAAAAATAAGCATCTGATATTAATCCCAGTTAAATCATGATTGGCGAGATTGTAGATTATCTTTTGACGTAGAACTACGTCTTTGTCGACTATACTGGGGTGTAAATCAAAAAATATGTATGGTGAAATAGTGTTAGGTTTTGAACGATTATAACTTTGTCGTTTATAAATGAAATTGAAATCCAAATACGCCAATCGATAGGATATTACTTTACGGATCTGCTGAAATAAATAGTTCAAAAATTTCCATAAAAAAAAACTTTTGAAAAATGTGCAAATGATAATTTGCTCAATGTTTTCTGAAATAAACCCACCTTAATAAAAATTGTATGGTTAATTTGCTTAACGACGTGTTCTGGGTATCATCCAAACCATTTGTGGAATAGTTCAATGATTAGGGTTATCGTTCGTTTATTGTTATTTTTTATTAGGGCAGTCATCATAATCGAGTATCATTTGGATGCACATCGTTCTGTTTGAACCTAAAAATATATAAAACTGCGCTGATGTCGTGCCTCTGCTCATTACCGCTTCGGATGGCGTGGCGTTGGGTCCTACAAGCAGGAGCAAGTTAGCGGTTAATGTGGTGTTTACATCTATGCGGATTTGCTAGCGCTAGTGTAAGCAGTGTGTAAAAAGTAGGCAGCTTAATGTAATCAGGGCATCAGAGTCTACCAGCATGTTAGTACACTAGGGCTCGCAAATAAGCATAGATGTAAACACCCCTAGAGGTGGATCACGGCATGATCACCTTGACAACCCGCCATGGGGTCCAAGGGGACTGGCTTCAACTAGATAAAAAATCGGATATTATTTAACAAAACACCCCCCCCCCTCCTTCCCATCATCCCATACACTAACAACCTGAAAGTGAACAAATTACAATTAAGTAAAATTAATTCCATAAATGTTTTACCCGGTTCTGCCCAGAGAGCCAAAACATTCAAATTAGAGAAAAAATTCGCTCACGATGATGATTGTGATTTTATCAACAACATATCTGGTGCCTCTATATATGTCATTCGATTAACATCCGAAGTCCATCCTTTTTTTACATATTGTATGTATGTAAGTAGCCACCATCCTAGCTTGGGTCTTGCCCTGCATGCGGCTCCACTCAACAGCAAGATCAAATTCCGTCATCATTCTGAATTCAACATACTGCTGTATGAAGGGTCAAAAAGGGTTGGACGGGCCCGTAAGCAGAGGCACTTACGCGAAACCCGCGGGAATAAGAGAATCTCCTTCCAACAATATGATCCAACAAAATGTATAACGAAATTCGCAATACATGCTAAGCTTTCCATGGGATGGTTTGTTTAAGAAGAGCGCGTCAAATTCATTGCAACTGTTGGAGTGAAATGTAACTATCTAAAATGACAGTACACATTCCCTCCTAGACTCCGGTTGGCACTCCACTCCATTGTCCAGTTACAACTTCAATGATGCCCTGATGCTCCCTCCCCTCCCAGTATTTATTGGAATTTACATTATGAATTTATATATAATCATGTAATATATAATGAATATAAAATATGTAGTAAAATGAAAAATATAATAAAAAATAAAGATGTTTTACAAAATACAAATAACCTAGATTATTGGGTCCTATACACACACTTTTTGTTTTATGTGCCATCCTTTTTTTACATATTCTACACAAAAGATATTTTCTGCCCCGCCCCATTCATAAAAAAAACGGCGGGAAATTCTATCAGGGGCGGAGCTAAGAAAGTATTTTTTGAGCAGAATATGTAAAACAAGATGGACTTCGAATGTTAATCTAATTGCACATAAGAGGTAGCAGATATGTTTTACAGTCAGTTGGATGCGAAGGATCGTCAAGCAGACGGTTCTCCGAAACGACCCAAGACCGCTGCAGAGAGAGTTCGGTGTTATCAAGCCTTCGGTTTGTTTACAATTTCTTACGCGCGCATCAACATGATTTTCTGTATATTTTCCTAGTCACAACTTTCTTAAACAGAGAGCATAGAGGAAATAGATCAATTCTCATGTGATTTGAGGCATCACACAATGGATTTTGATCAAAGTCTAAAACGCTATCCAGACTGGAGAGTTATAACATGTTATAACGGTTGTCAAATAATTGCAACACAGAAACCACCATCAAGATAGCGCTATAACATGTTATAACTCTGTAGTCTGAACGTACTATAAAACTGGTTACTTCCCAAGGGGTTTCCGGAATGTGGCCAGCTTGATCCTGACTATTCCTTACAATTGCCATTGAACAGGTTGTTGAATTTTAATGTAATTAAATGATTTTTGACCATATTCAGAAACTGGCCACTTCTCTGGGGGATCGAAACATGGCCAGGTGCGGCCAATGTGGTACTAGGCCCCCCAAATGACTACCATTCAACTAGCTTTTTTTTTTTTTTGGGTATTAAGCTGGAGCTGCGTGTCAGCTTAGTTTTCAAGACTTGACCAATTTGAATAAATTTTGCTTCTATCTTTGACAATACAGCAGAAGGCCTAGCCTATGTTGGCAGCTTGAACACTGGATTCCGTGTGTATTGTTTCAAGATAGTTATAGAAAAAATGCTGTGACGT